TGCGATCCGAAAATTCTCAAAAATTTAACAGTCTGTTTGTGTCCTAACCATAACATAAGGTGTCACCCCACCGTTTGCCTTTGAAGGGCACCTATTTCTTAAAAATACCGCTGTACTCACGGCTTCGGCCCATAAACCCTTTGGAACATTCGATTGTATCAACATTCCGCGCGCCATTTCGACAATTGTTCTATTTGCACGTTCTGCGACTCCGTTCTGCTGCGGTGTGTACGGAACTGATAGTTGGCTAGTAATGCCCTGGCTTTCTAAATATTCATTAAATTCTTGACTGACATACTCTTTGGCATTATCACTACGCAATTGAACTATTTTACATTCTGTTTGCTTTTCTACATGCAGTTGATACTTTTTAAATTCCTCTAAGATGTCACTACGAGATTTCAAAAATACTACTTCTACATATCTCGTTCTATCGTCGATAAACGTCGCAAAGTAACGCGCACCTCCATACGATTTTGTATCTATCGGGCCACAAATATCTGTATGTACTAACTCTAACACATTTTCGCTCGATTCGCACCTTTCGCGAATGGTAGTTCATGAATTTTAGCTTGATCGCATATTTCGCAAGGCAATTTTTGACTTTTCGACGAGAAATCTACTCCGTATACTATATTCTTATCGGCTAACGCTTTTAAATCATCGTAATTTAAGTGTCCGTATCGCTCATGCCATAATTTCAATTTTACATTAGGATCGTTCATAGTATTGTAAACTCTATGATTAACCGTTTCTTTAACTACATACATATGATTCCTTTTAGACGCGACAAAAACTAACGAGCCATCCGATCTAATCACTTTCGCATTGTCTTTCGAGAACTTCACTTCATATTGTTTTTCCGTAATAGCTTGGACCGATATCAAATTACTTCTTAAATCTGGCACATATAATACATTCGCTAATTTTATCGGATTTACTCTACCATGCGAACTAACGTTAATTTGTACAACTCCTATACCGTAAGATTTTATGTTTTCTTTACCGGCCGTACTAATATTAGTAATCTTTTCGTCCGACAAAGTTTCAAACGCGTTCCGGTCATTACACATGTGTGAAGTTGCCCCGCTATCGAGGTACCATTCATTTCTTTCAGTCGAACATATCAACGCCGAAATAGCAACTAACGAATCTTCCTGTCCGCTTATAGTACTCGCTTGGCTCGCTCTACCTTGATCTTTTCTTTTTACGTGACAACGAATGGCTGGATGCCCATATTTACCGCAATTATAACAATTTCCGGAAAACCTTGCTTTGTTCTGATTGCCTCTTGTTCCTCTTGTTCCGCCCGTTCCGCTGGTTCCGCCTGTTCCGCTCGGTCCGCTCGTACCGCCTGTGTACGCGTGTACACGCTGTTCCTTGTTCACGTAGACTTTCGAGAAACCAGAGCCGATGATGCGCCATCTTCTTTGACGCCTTGCTTCCTCTTCTATTAATTTTCCTTTTACAAAATCTACCAATAGATTAGTTTTTTTTTATTAAAACACTTTATTTATGCGAGTACTATTTATTGTTGGCAAGAAAAAACTTTGTGGCTCTTTAAAAACTTTGAAATTTTATAAATTGTAATTTTTGACTCTTCCGACTCTAAAGGTTGCCGACCCCTGACGTTACAAAAATACACTAGTCAAAAGAATTAAGGGAACAGAAAAATTCCTTAAATTTTTAGGTCATATTCAAATTGCTCTGCCTCCGTTGAAATTCATCGCAGGAGACATCCAGAATAGTCATTTTGAAGATTCAGGTCTCTAGTTTTCGACCTTTTGTCTCAAAAATTTTTTAGACTTTTTTTCACTAATTTTTCTTTTTTTGACATTTTTCTGTTCCCTTAATTCTTTTGACTAGTGTATTTTTGTAACGTAATAACATTGTTCTCAGTAAAGTTTCTTATAAATTAAAAGAAAAAATTGAGGTTTTTCTACCCGTTTCTTATAAAATAAGAAATCTCTTCTTATATTTCTTCTGAATACTTATCATGAGGGAAAACAATGACATTACCAAACTCAACCTGATATTGTTGGATTTGTTCGGGAGAATCTCCAATTCGGTTTAATAATCCTTCGGTGGTTTATGAAGTATCATTTGCAGTTAACGAGATAGAATGGGCAAGGTTATCAGGCTTCATGAAGAGATTATCGTCTACACAAATTATAATAGGTAAGGAATAGAATGTCGTCGATCTTCTTACTGTTTCGTTCATGTTATTAATTAAGAGTCTACTTTCATTAATTTCATCATTATTACAATTCATTGTTTTTTCCTCTATAGTTATAGAATGAATTGCAACAAGGCATATTTTTATGCCTCGTTACGAGTGGCCACCAGGCCCGCCGGCCTCTCTCCTCCGCCCTGCCAACCCCTCGTGGCGGGGCGTATGGAAGAGTGCGTGTTTTTTTTTCGTTTTTGTAGTTCCCGATTTTATTATTATTCGTGCGCCCCTTTCCCCCCCGGCACCGGCATGAAGACGAGCGGCCCAAGGAAGAAGCATCCGCGGCTCCGGGCGCGGGGGAAAACCCCAACCCTAGAGATGGAGGCGCGGGAT